CTTTAAACTCTGTTCTAGTTGTAGCCTTCACAGCCTCCTGCAGCAAGGAGTTCCACAGGTTGACTACGTGCTGTGTGAAGAAGAACTTTTGCTTATTAGTTTTAAACCTGCTGCCCATTCATTTCATTTGGTGTCCTCTAGTCCTTCTATTATGGGAACTAATGAAGAACTTTTCTTTATGCACCCTCTCCACACCACTCGTGCTTTTATAGACCTCTATCATATCCCCCCTCAGTCTCCTCTTTTCTAAGCTGAGAAGTCCCAGTCTCTTTAGCCTCTCTTCATATGGGACCTGTTCCAAACCCCTGATCATTTTAGTTGCCCTCCCCTCTCCCAACCTCACTCTTCCCCTCTCCCACCTCCTTTTCCCAGTCTCCCCGAGTTTTGTTGAATAAAGAGAGTTTCTATTTTTGAACACACGTGTCCTTTATTTTGTACATCAGGAAGGGGGGCTAGGGAGGGGTAAGTGGAAGGAGGTGAGGGAGGAATGGGGTACGAGCCCCCGATGGGGAGGACTGGGGTGGCTCTGCGGGCTCCTTGGGGTGGAAGCTCTCCTGCAGCCCCCCGATTGACCCCCCCCCCCGGATAGCAGCCTGCAGCAAGTGCAGCTGGGCTGATGGCCGAGTGCTGTGATGTGCTGAGTGTGGGCATTCAGGGCACTCCAAGCCAGGACTGCTTTGCTGTCCCTCATTGAGTTAGACAAGCGAGCGGGGAACCCGAGAACTGTCTGTCCGGGATGGGGGTCGGGTCCTTTTAAGCACAGCCCTTGGCTAGTCTGAGACAGCAGCTCCACGCTCTAAGTCCTAATCTGATGCCCTGCAGGCACTGCTTCCGGCCATCCTTAACCTCAGTTCAGGGTCCACTCAATGTGGACATGCCAGTTCGAATTAGCAAAATGCTAATTCGAACTAGTTTTTAGGTCTAGATGCACTAGTTCGAATAACTTAGTTCGAATTAACTAATTCGAATTAAGTTAGTTCGAATTAGTGCTGTAGTGTAGACATACCCTAAGGTTTGAAGGAAAGTAGCGAAAGACGTGTGAATTAACATACTAAAATGGATAAAAGGGTGTAACCGTGCCAAATTGTTGCCACTCAGAACGATGTGTTGGGGGTCCAAGGTAAACGTGCATGGGCAATAAAGCAGTTCATTAACCCCTCCACTCCTGGGTCGCCTGTTTCTTCTCTAACAGGCTTAACTTGTGTTTTTGTTTATTTGCTAGGCAGTCTGCTTTGATCTGTTTGCTATCACTTATAATTACTTACAATCTATCTTTCTGTGGTAAATAAACTTGTTTTATGTTGTATCTTAACCATGCATTGAGTGAAATGTACGGGAAAATCTCCGCATGGTGAACAAAAACTACTGCACATCTTCCCCACATTGGTGGGGGAAGGGAATTAGTGATCTTGCATCATACAGATCCCTGGGAAGTGCAAGGCCATATAATTCTGGGTTTACACTCCAGCAGGAGTATAAAACTGGGAAGTTGGACATTGCCCATTTGAGTGGCTTGGGTAAAACACTCAGGTAACTCAGCTGGGTGTGTGGCACCACCTGCAGTTGTGTTGGGTGATGACAGGGCCAGGAGAGCAGTGTGAGAGAAGTCATGCTAGCTGAACTGTTAGGGGGTACGATGGTTCCAATGGCGCCCAGATTACATCCCAGGGACAACAGCCCATCAGAATGGTCCTTTGAAAAGGGGAACTGGGGGACTGAGAGGGAACAGAGTTCCGGTTGCCCTGTTTCAAACCATCTAAACCAAATGATGATCTGGGTGATAGCAGGGGCAGACATGGGGGAAATGGCCTCAGCCAGGGACTGTTTCTTTCAGAGTCCAGAGCTAAGAGACTTGCAGTGTAGGGTGGAGCAAGACTTTCCTCTCAATCAGTTACCCAACCAATCAAGACAAAACCATGGTGGAACTGCTCAAAAATGTCCCGTTCTCACCACAAAGGGGGGAAATAGAGAGGGACTATTTGACGGGGCCATCAGCCATGGGAGGGAAAGGGGTGAGCCGTAGTCACTTTCCCTTCCCTGGCTGTAGAAGAGGGATGGGAAACAACTCTCCTGAGCAGCTCTGGAGGGAAAGATTTTTGCTGTCAAGGTTTTGCCTCAGGTAATTTTCTTGTGAAAGACTTTTGCAGCCAGCTGAGCTGGAGCTGGACCAGGGAATGCAGGGCAGTAAGTCCACCACACTGGAATGTCACAAACTCATCACTTTCTGCAGAATGTAAAAATCATAACAAGAAAGGGGCTTGAGCAATAGGACGGGATCCCAGCCCTCATGCATGAGGCAAAAGTGAATCAGACCTGGGGGTCAGAAATCAATTCCTCGTGAGCAGGGCTTGTCAAACTGCAGTGAGCCCCGCTCACCAGCCGCGCTGTCCGGCTCTGCGCATGCAGATCGCCCGAACCTGGCTCTTCCGGGTTGTAATCTACTTGCCACGGGTGAGTAGATTGCATTATTTGTCGAGCCCTGCTCGTGAGGGATAGTACCTAGCCATGTACCGTGTCACTCAAGTATTTTCACCTTCTCCTGAAGAATCAGGCATTGGCCTCTGCCCAGCTAGCCCTGCACGACATTGCCCAGATGGTTACACCAGCATGGTGCTCCCAAGAATGATCATTTGTGCCTCTCCTCTCGGAGACAGAGTAAGTACTGTACCTCCACTGCCGCCACGGCTTCGATGTCATGGAGAATGAACTTGATTACTACAGGCAAATCTTCCAGTTTTACAGCAGGCACGATGCTCATAGCCGACTGTCGCACCTAAAGGGAAGAGTGATATTGCGACATCTGTACGACTGGAGGGCCAGGGAGGCATAGGGTTTATGACAGAACACTAGCCACCCTTTGGGACCATGCAATCAGGAATGGGGAACCGTTTTTCTACCAGGGGACACTGACCCCCCCCAAAAAAATTAGTCAGGGTCCCCACACAGCCCCATGGGCAGGGATGAGGGATGGAGGCTTGGGCTGGGGCCAGAAATGAGGAGTGTGGGGTGGAGTTCCAGGCTGGGGTAGAGGGCTGAGGCGCAAGCACCGACTGGGGGTACGGGCTCTGAGGTGAGGCTTTGGACAAGGGGTTTGAGGGCAGGAGGCAGCTCCTGGCTGGAGCCAAGGGGTTTGGAGTGCAAGGGGGGCTCAGGACTGGGGTGGGGTTGAGGGGATGCCAGCTCTAGTTGGGCATGCAGACTGGGATGGGACAAGGAGCTGGGGTCTGGGAGGCGGCTTGGGATGGTACGAGAGGCTCTGGGAGGGTGTTTTGGAGCAGGGTGGGAGTGCGGAATCTGGCAGGGAGTTAGGGTGTGGGATAGCGTTGTACTAGGGACAAAAGGTTGGCATTTGGAGAGGGTTTGGCGTGAGGGCTCCGGCTGGGCAGCGTTTACTTCAGGCAGCTCCCGGTCAGCAGTGCTGCAGAGCTAAGACAGGCTCCTTGCCTGCCTGTCTTTGCTCTAGGCTGTTCCTGAAGCAGCCCTGCAGGCAGCACCTCCACAGCTCCCATTGGTCACAGAACCCAGCCAATGGGAGCTGCAGAGACAGCACTAGGTGCAGGGGCAGCATGTGGAGCTTCCCTGATTGCCCCTCCACCTAGGGGCCGCAGGGACATGCCTCAGGACAGCCCCAGCCCAACAGCTGGAAAAGGCTGGGAGTGCTTAGTTCAGAGGAGACATGGGGGAGCGATACAAAATAACAAATGGGTCTGAAGATGGTAAGTTGAGTGCTCCTATTTACCATTTCACATAATACAAGATCAAGGGGGCAGTCAATGAGATTGCAGGGCAACAAATTTAAGATGGACTTTTTCTAATCTATCTGTGGAACTCAGTGTCACAATATCATCACTAAGGCAAAAGTTTAATAATCATCCGAGAGTTAGAAATTTACATGCATAATGAGAACATCTATTTACAGCAGACAGGTTAAAACAAGAAGGGGAATGCGCCCGTATGTTTTGGGACATAAACAGTAGCTAGCAGAGGGTTAGCGTGGCGCATTCTCTGTGAACACATCATTTCATTCCAGCCATAGAAACTTCATACAAGTCACCCTCAGGTCACTGACTTGCTCTCAAGTTGTCTCTCCGTTGACTCAGCACACTGCTTTCTCTCAAGAACAATTTTACATAAGAGGCTTACAGAGTCGCATGGCATTTCTGCCACCTTTCCCACTCTGGCTGGCACAGAATGACTTTACAATCTCAAAGGAGCCGGTTGAAATGGTCAAAGCAGCTCTAATATTTAGGCTTCTGTTTCGGAGAGAATCTCTTACCTCAGCCAAAAGTCCTGCATCAAGCTCCAAACTGGAGAGGGCATCCAGGATCGGAACAGTTAGGCGAGGGTCCCGTTTTAACAGCTGGCTGAGACGCAAGAAAAAGAATGCAGACAAATAAATAATGAGTTTTTATTTAGCAGAATTATGCAATTCGAAAACATCAGCAGTTTCTCCACGCATGCCAGAATCTCTGCAACAGGGACAAATAGACACCAGACGCCAGCAGTTCAGAATACGGACTTGGAGCTGCTTGGAGGAGAGCCTGCTACTGCACAGGTGATTGCAAAATGGGGACGCTCATAGACACACAGGCTGGAGACAACAGGTCTGCTGAGAACACATGACCAGACCCAGTTTGAGCTCACAGCACCCCCAGCATCAAAGCACATGGACAGGTAGGACTGACCCAAGTGGGGTTTGCATTCATGGGCACAGGGAGTCTGGGCATGTGTCTAGCCAGGCCTGGGGGTGCTCTATCGGGGCAAGGGAGTCGTGTAACTCCTGCCAGAGAGCCTAACCTGGGTCTAGTCCTGGCTTTCCTCAGACAGAATAAATGCTGCTCCATTGTTAACCACGGTGCTCGATCTAGGGGGCTAACTCTGACCCCACAGAAGGGAGAACAGAGATGTGTGTCTGAGCCCTGGAAACCCTTCCCCAATGCTGACAAGGTTAGACATATACTCAGGCCCTACAACAAAATGGATGTCCTATACCAAAATGGAAAGTGCAAAACAAAGAGCAGTTCACACGTGGATCAAGATCTCTCTCACTTCCGGAGCACTGTGCGGCTGGGAGCAAAGCACACATGTGCAGACAGGGTCAAGAGACAGCAGGAGTGTCAGCCTTACCTAACCTCTCTGGCCACTTCACTTTGCTGGGAATCCTCCAGGATCTCGGGCAAGCTGGTGATAATATCATGCTGGATTGGTGCCGGAGAAATGCTAACCATCTGCATTAATTTCATGACAAGATCCTGCAGGCGAGGAAACAGTTGGGATATGACAATGGCATCACCACCACCAAAAGCCCAGCACATTTTCACAGCAATGATGACAATGTCTAGTCCCTTTAGTCCCTAGATTGGGGTGGGCAAAATACAGCCTTTGGGCCACAGACCTTTTAATTCAGCCATTAAGCTCCTGCCAGGAGTGGGGTCGGGTGGCCTGGCTCAGTGTGTACAGCAGGATGTCCTTCCTCCAGCTCCTACTCGTTGAAGCAGCCAGAGGTGCTTACCTCAAGCAGCTCCCAGAACCGCAGGAGCTGAGGGCTGCACCTGCACAGACAGGGCAGCACACAGAGCTGCCTCTCCAGGCCTCTATGTAGGAGCCAGAACTGGAAGGGGGGATGCCACTGCTTCTGGGAGCTCACCCCCCCTCCAATTTTGCGAGCATTCAGAGCCTGTCATACGATTTCCAACTTGAGATGTGACCCGCAGGCCAAAAAGTTTGTCCATCCCTACCCTAGCTCCTCCTATGGGCCTTTGCTGTTGTAGGCACACTTGCTCTTCCACTTCAACATGAACATGAACATTTCTACTTGTTGTTTTCAACATTCCTGTCAGCCCACATATTAAGCCCTAAGGTTCATAATAGTCATTGTCATAAATGGGCTGACTACAGTATTTTAAAAGGACTGTATGTTTCCGTAGGTCTTCACAAAGCTTTGGTTGCTTGACCCTCCAGTGCCCGTGAGTAATGTATGCGCTTGCTGTCCCCTAGAAGCAAAATGGTCATCCCATCCCCTTGGAGGACTTTCAAAGACCTGAATGGAGAAAACACGTTGCTGAGTGCACCATTGGTACTTACCTTGCTGTCAAGTATTCTGTCAAGCCATTTAAACTGATTGACAATAAGCCGGGGGAAATTGGTTCCAAAGGTGCCCACCCTGAAACATCAGCACAAGAAGAGTACAGATCAGATGGTTAGAAAAGCCAACGCTGACACAAGGCAGAACAGCTGTCCATTTTAATCCAGCTTCATCACTGCCGTGATACATGGTACCCCACCATTGTGCTAGACCAGTATTTCTTAAACTATGTTCCGCGGAACACTGGTGTTCTGTGAATAACTCGCAGGTGTGCCGCCAGTTCGTCTTTGTTTTTGTCTTTTTTTTTTTTTTGTCTGACAACAATTTATTTTTGAAGAAAATTTTCATAGGTGTTCCGCATAAAAAAGTATTATTATTTGGTGTTCCATGGTCTCAAAAAGTTTAAGAAACACTGTGCTAGACTTTGAAATAGCAGCATTCAGCAGAGGAAAGGGGGGCAGAGAGGAATACTAGCAATGCTGTGGTGGTGACCATGGACTGAACGCAAGCATGCAAGGCAAATTCAGCTAGACAGAGAACTATCATGTATGGGCCAAAATAAAGGGCAACGGAAGAAAAAAGTGCAACTGTGCAAAATGCAAAAGGTGAGGTTTTGGACCAGTTCTCACTGCAGCAGGGCCTCTCCCTGCTACCTCTCAGTTAAGGCATTTCCTTCTGAATATTTGTCAAGACAATGCAGATTAGCAGGACCCCATGGTTTCATTTACAACCACTCCAGATTTCAGTACAAGGCAGGGACCTCACTTCATACACCCCATCGGGGGCATTCCCAGTCTTCAGGCTTGTCCTCTACTATGTGCTATCCAATTATCTTGAGCTATGAACACTGTGTAGTACATTGTACTCTCTCTCCTTCAGATACAGTGTTTTCCCAGATATGTAAATAGGGCCATATGGGTTAAACTGTAGTCATTGCTTAAAACCAAACACCTGGGAAAGCTCCACCTACACCATCCCTGACAGATGTCTGTCTAACCTGTTCTTAAATATCTCCAGAGAGGGAGATTCCACCACCTCCCTTGGCAATTTATTCCAATATTTGACCACCCTGACAGTTAGGAATTTTTTCCTAATGTCCAATCTAAACCTCCCTTGCTGCACTTTAAGCCCATTACTCCTTGTCCTGTCCTCAGTAACCAAGAGGAACAAATTTTCTCCTTCTTCCTTGTGACACCCTTTTAGATATTTGAAAGCCGCTATCATGTCCCCCCTTAATCTTCTTTTTTCCAAACTAAACAAGCCCAGTTCATGAAGCCTGGCTTCATAGGTCATGTTCTCTAAACCTTTAATCATTCTTGTCGCTCTTCTCTGTACCCTTTCCAATTTCTCCACATCTTTCTTGACAAGGTTTCAGTTGGGGTCAGACAGAAGGTATCAGGGCACTCACGTGTCAAAAAAGAACTCAGGGAGCTTCTCCAGTAAGAGTGTTATAACAGCAGGCTACAACAGAAAAGAAGTATTATGCTGATGCTTTTTCTTTTTTAGACCGTGCTAGTGCTCAGAGACCCCATTCCGCCCTGGGCCCACTGCCCTAGGCACTACATGCACACAGAGTCTTTGGGACCCAAAAGCGCAGGTAAGAAAGTTTGCTCATTGGAATTCTCTTAAGAGCCCAGACAGAACACACTGCTTCCTCCTCGCGCTGCAAGGGAACTGGCTACCACAGAGGGAGCCTGCCCCACTTACAAAATTGTACCACGGATGGTACAGCATGAGCACCCTCCTGAAGTCTAGGAAGCGCCAGAGGGATTTTATCGCCTTGGGTGGTCTGGCTCCACAAAGTCCTTACTCAAGGCTGTTACTTGATGACACGATTGATCTATTCTTGGAGACACATTTTGCTAGAACACGTAGTTAAGGGATTTAACAACTATTACATGGGCATGGGTTACTGTACACGTTAGTACTAAATAAAGACTGAGGGGTGCACCTGCAAGCACCTGGCTAGGTTTGGGGCATTGGACAGATAATATTCCCAAGGGTTCCTTCCAGAAGTGTCTGTCAGGCGCAGCTTGTTTACAGCTCTCACAAAGATAATCCCTTGAAGGTCTGTGAGACTTTCAAACCCGTGACAATGGGAGCCATCGAAATACCTTGAGAGGAGACTTTTTTTTTTTTTTTTTTTTTAAACACAGAAACCTTCCCTGCTTCTCCAGTGGGACAGACACACATCCCTATAAAACACCATAAATTCCTCCCACGCAGTTGCACAGATGGATTCTCACCAGGCCCAGCCCCAATTCCCCAGCCTGGAGTGACAGGGCCCAGGGCAGAAACAACAATGCAAAGGCTGAAGCCTGGAACATGCAGGTTGGGACAGTCCTGTATGTCCTTATCAATTCTCTTCCCTTGCCTTTCTCCACCAATTCTTTTCCCTATCCTCACCCTTCACTCCTCTGACCTTCCTCTTTAAACCAGTAGAGCTGTGTTCTAAAGCTCTGGCCTGGAACAGCAGGGGAGCTCGTCTGGACGGAGGAGCATCAGCAGATCTGTGCATGGTACTTATCTGCTGGGTGACCAGCTCCACCCTTCCCTACTTTCATAAGCATTAAATGTCCCCAGAACAGACACAACTGGACAGAAGAACGTCAGTGTGCTTACCTGTAAGGTATCAATTCCAAGAAGTAGTTTAATAAGGCTTTCACTGTACGAATGAACCAAATTTCTGCCAAGTAAAAAAAGAAAAGAAAAGGATCACCCTGATTGTTCTTGTTAAGGACCTGCGTGATGCGAGCATGCTGCTTTCGTCCAGCAGAGATGAAAAAGGACATCTGCAGCGAAAGCACTGTCCGTTCCCTCAGGCCAAGAGGGGAGCTGGTCAGGGTGCCGGTGGTGTGTGTGGACACTGTCGGACTCTGGACTGTGCTGTGCGTGGCCATGGGGCACTAGCTGCACAGCAAATAGAACTCTGCATTTCCAGGCCTTCTACAGCAGAGTCCTTTTCAAAGTGTAGGTAGGCACTAGACTGGAGCTGGCCTGCAGGCCCTTTAAATCTATCCTCAAGCACCCGCCAGGGAGCAAGGCTGGGAGCTTGCCCTGCTCCAGTGCTCCAGCAAGGGCGGGGGGGTTGAGGGTTTGCCTTGCCCAGGCAAGGCTCCACACGCTGCCCACCACACCAAGCACCAGCGCTGCAGCTCCCACTGGCTGGGAATGGCGGCTAGTGTCAGCTGCAGGAGCAGCACCTGCGGACGGGGAAACACACAGAGCTTCCAGGATGTTTCAGATAAGCACCACCTAATATCCTGTGCCCAACCCCCGCCTTTCCCATGTCACCTCCTTCTTCCGCCCTGATCACCCTCCAAACCCTTCAATCCCAGTCCAGCACACGCTCCTGCACCCCAAACTCCTCATCCCCACTCCAGAGTCTGCCCCCCCTTTGCACCCCAGATTGAGCTCTGATCCCCCGTCAGCTCCACATCAGCCCAGAGCACTCTCCTGTACCCCAAACCCCTCATCGCTAGCCCAAACCCAGGCAGAGCATTTGCCCCCTTGCGCCCCAATCGCCTATCCTAGCTGAGAGCCCTCCAAATCCCTTGATCTCAGCCCGAAGCACCCTCTTGCACCCTAAACTCCTCATTTCTGTCTCCACCCTAGAGCCTGCACCCCCAGCCAGACCCCTCATGCCCTTCTCCAACCCAAAGCAAAGCAAACACTTCTGCAGACACTATTTAAGCAGATGATCTCTGCCAGTCCTGTGGATTTCTGTCAAACTCTGAAGCTTGCTGTCCTCTGTGTTACCCCAGCGGCTAACTCCCCAGTCTGCTCTGACCACGGTGCCTGGAGTATAAGGGAGGACCAAGGAGAGGTGCTGTACTACCTCCAGAAGTCATTGCTTGTGGCCCAAGTCGCCAGCTAGACAGCTAGCACACCCGATGATGCTGCACCTTTCACATACAGTTATGTAAGCATCTGCCTCTGTCTAGCTCTTCCTTTGCATGAGGGATGGGTCCTGGCATTGAGCATAAATTCAGGAAAACCCACAAGAACGAAGAAAGGGCTAGAAACGACACCTTACAATGGTAAACTCCAGGAGCTCAGCCTATTGGGCTTAACAAAGAGAAAGTTAAGGGATCAATGTTCCTCATTTTTTACATGCATGTGCAGAATGAGGTGCTTGTGTGGTGGGGAGGGCAAGGGATTGAGAGGGGCCCACAGCTGGGGAAGAGGGTTGCAGTGTGGGGCCAGGGTTAGGGCCAAGGATGCGAGGTTCAGAGTACGGGAGAGCACTCAGCACTGGGGCATAGAGCTGGGCTGCAGGGCACAAGGATCTGGCTGGGGAAGTGGGATTTGGGGTGCAGACTGCCCAGGGACTGACACAGGGAGAGAGGACTTCCCCCAGCCTTCTCTCCGTGCTGCAGCCACGGAGCCAGGCGAGGGCGTCTCTTCCCCGGCTGCAGCAACCCCAGCCAAGACAAGGGGAAAGGCAGCTCTCCCTGCCACAGTCCAGCACACCCCAAGCGCCTCAGCCACCCCCATTCTCCACCTCCCCATACTCCCCTCTTGGCCTCTGAGGCTATGTGCCTGTATGGCTCTGCTCATCAGTGTGCAGCCTGATGGGCTGCTGTGTGGCCACGAAGGCACACACCGTAGCGGGAACACGGGTGACTTGATCTCATTCTGTAAGTACCAGCATGGCTTACAAATATTGGAGAGCAAATATTCTCAGTCTAGCAAAGTACAATGCAATCCAGTGGCTGGAAGTTAAACTAGACATTTTCAAACTGGAGAATACTACCCATGCTAATCATTATCCATTGGAGCCAATTACCAAGGGTCGTGGTGAATTCTCCATCACCGGCAATTTTTCAATCAAGGCTGGATGCTCTTCTAAAATACCTACGCAAGGAGCTGTTGTGGGCAGGTCCTGGCCTGGGTTACAGAGGAATGAGGACTTGGAATCCCTGGCTGTCCAGATTAGGCACTATGGATGTGATTCCCTGCATGTGCACACCTACTTGTGCTAACGCTCATTCAGCTAGTGGAAGTACAAATAGCAGTAGTGGAAGGGCAGCAGGGGCCTGGCTTAGCCATGCCGAGTACAACTCTGCCTGGAACTGGTGGGTACATACTTGGCTATCCTGTACCTCTACTCCCACTACCCTTGCTATTTATGCTGACACTAGCTCAGTGAGAGCTAGCGCAAGTCTGCATTCACGAGAGGGGGCCCAAACTCCTATCTTATAGTGAAGACAGAGCTTTTAAAAATCTATGACAATACCTATGGCTGCAGACTTAACAGAATAAATCCTTCTCCCCACAACCAATTCTGCATTATTCAAGCACGGACTAGCTCCTGGGGGGTGAGGAGAAAGAAATGCCTTTTCTCTGACCTTGTACCCTCGCCTCGCACTGGAGCACAAGGTAGAAGGCAGTTCCTGAACTGGTCTCTGTCCTTAATGTGAGACTCCAAACCACTGACAAACTCCTGTACAACCTGCAGGGGGAAAAAAGAGAAGTCAGCCATTGACCGAGTAGGAACCCTGATCACCTGGGATGAAGGGTAAGGGGACCTCAGTGCTAAGGTAGCCAAGGGGCACCTAGCTGGGCAGCAGGCTACAGGCAGAGATAAACTGGAGAGGAAGCACACTATGGGCATCTTAGTGATACAGCATAAACCCAATTTGACAGACTAATCGGGGACTAAGGAGTTCATGAAATCAAGAAAGCGGTTAAAACCCAACACCTCAAAATTGCTGCATGTCTGGCACAGTGTGGTGTACCGCATCACTTTCTGCTTGGCCTTTAAGCCACTGAAAAGCTTAAAGCTTATTTACAAAGCGATGAAGGCCTCAGAATGTGAAGAGATGTTGCCTTGTCCTTCCTCAGGAAAAAAAGCATAATGAAAGTGACCTTATCTGGAAAGACGGCTCATAGAACTGGTCGTTTGTGAGACCGGTGTTCGTAAATTCAAGGTTCTGCCCTACTCTAATCGAAACAGCCTGCTAATGAGATGCTAGATCCTCTACAAAAGCACTCTAGGGTGACAGCTTCGAACTCCCCTCACGTGCTTGTGACTCCAAGGGCTGCATCCCAGCTGGGAGCAAGTGTCCAGTGCAGCAAACAACACGTCTAAAACCAGTTGCAACGTGGAACCAAGCGGGCGCAGGAGTTTCACATCTGGCCTTGCTGTCAGGGGTGTGGACATGGGAAGAGAGGAGGGGGAGGGAGAAGGCTGGCAATAGGAACATATTCACACAAGGGGGCCACTCCGTTGCTGGCAGCGCCCAGGTCAATTACTTACACAACAGCAAACTGACAATTTCCCATTCAAAAGTGAAGCCTGCCCTGCTCCCCCGCCATGTGCCTTTGTCTCTTGCCCCCTTTGGATTTCGGTTCTCTCCACCCACCAGTGCATGCCCGAAGAGGGTGCCGAGCAGGGCAGAGCAGTGGTCACGAACAGAGACAAACGGGCAGTGTTTTCTCCCGGAATTGCGGAAGGCCGCTTTGGCAGCATGTAAGCTGGGCGAGGTTTGACAGATGCAAGGGCAGACTGCCTCCAATCGGCCGGTTAGTGGCTGGTGAGTCAAACATGAGAGTTCAATAAAATGCAGCGCCAGGCCACGAGGGGTGATGGGAGCCAAGAAGAGAAGGGAAAAAGAGGAGCACGGTTTGGGGGAGTAGTGAAAGGGGACGGAAAGGCATCGGAGAAGAGCAGGCCCAAGAACAAGCAGCAGTATTATAACTATTTGTTCTCAGTGGGGCCCTCGGGGGCGGGGGCAAGCAAAAGGTCACATGCCCCCCCCCTTGTGAGAAGAAGGGAGACACAAGGGGCCAGCAGATGGTGCAAAGCCGGGGGGCGGTGTGTGAAAGAGGAGACCCGGGATGGAGGGGGGTTGTGCCAGGCCTTACACCTCCTAGAGAAGGCCCTCTCCTAGGCTAGAGGTGGCGTGAGAAGGCAGTCCCCTGTGGTTCTCAGGAAGTTGGCAGAAGAGGGTGGAGCCATTTGGGACACTACTGGAATTGACTACATTTGCATGCCTCTTTTTCCTGACACACACTGCACTGCCATTTTGCAGCAGCAATTAGCCCATGTTAACATCCTGTTAGCACAGGGAGTGGCCACTCAGCCAGGTAGTGCACAGGTTTTAAACACTGGCTTCTCCTGAAATATGCGGTGTCTGCTACGTACATGCGGGTAGAAAGGGTGCTTCCTCAGGATCTGGCAGAGCCTCTTCCGGAAGGTTGCTTGATCCACAGCTAAGGAGAAAGTCAGGAGTAAATCGATCGGGGCATACATTTTAGTCAGCCAAACGTCACAGTATTTCAGCAACAAATACACATTGCTGTGCAAATTACAAGCAGCTATCCACTGGCGTTTACAAGTTCACTTCATCTAGAGTGCCCAGGTAAAGCCGGAGAGATACCAACACTCACATTCCCTCCATCATGGCAAAACCGAAGTGGATCTGGTTAAATGTAGAGAATAACCAAAGTGCAACCTCCCCAACTCTGCACAGTCAGCACAGAGAACACATTCAAGTCTGCCAGGCCATTCAAGAACACAAACCGGGAAACTAAGCAGCAGAGTTTTCCTTGTGTCCTTATGAATAGCATGATTAATCACCTTCCCCTCCAGCTCAAACCCCTAGCGCCTATACTACTGAAACAGACCACTTAGCCCAAAAGATGCGACAGCAGTCCTCCAGCGATCTCCCACTGCTTTGTCCCCAAAAGCACACCCTGCGTTTCTAGGGTTTCAGACACTCTAAGGAGAAGCAGCATCTCTCTCCCAGAACCTCACTTGTGTTTGGCCAGTAGACATGCAGCCTGCAGAGCTCCAAACACGCAGTGCTGAATGAGAAATGTGAATTGGGATCCCCACGTGGCCATAAAGCTTGGTCCAGAACAGCAGCAAAGTGGCTGATTGAAAATAATCCAGCCACTTCCCCGGAACTGCTGGCAGCTATGCATGAGCGGGAGGATTTCCATCTAAAGCTCTCTTACTTCAGTGCTCCTGCCTTTGCAGCTAAACCCTGTAACATTTACAAGTAAAAGCCCTACTTCACCTACTTCTGTACTGGGTTAATAAGGAAATCAAAGAAAAGGTCAGGGCAAACTTCCAGAGCCTTCTCTCATTCCATCCACATCCGTATCCATACCCATATAATCTTCCAGCATTCTCCCAGCATGGCACATGCAAGTATATCGGAGTGGAAGCCTGTGTGTAATGCATTGATCAGTGTGCAGCAAATCAGGCAAGCAAGGGTTTACTCACTGAGCAATGGAGATAAAAATAAAGATCGAACAGCTGCCTAATTCACTGTGCATTCTTCAGCTTGCATACCGCGTAAGACAGAAACTATGTAATACAACAGTACACACGAGGACAGAGTTAGGGTTGACTTTAACTTTGGCACTTCCTAAGTTGAATGCTTTATTCTGCCACCCTAAACTTTTAATGTTGCTTTCTGGATAGCTATATACATCCACACACAGAGCACACAGTAAATGCTAAATCCATACCTCTGCCCAACCTGCCCCCCTTTCACTTCACCCCTAATCCACTCCTTCCCCACTGCTCCATCTTGGGCAGAGGTCTTTTCGTGGCAAGAGGTTCGAGACTTCTTTGTTTCTGAGAAAGCAAGGCTTGTTATTGTAGGATTAACAGTTACAGTAATGAGAGGCCATACCTCAAGATACTCTATGAAGAGAAGCATTGCCTTTGAGGGTCAGATGAATGCTCTAGGCACTCTGCTGCTGCCTCTGACAGTGGTCAATAGCAAACACTTAGGAAAAAGTTATAAAGCACCTAGGTGTGCATTACCATGGTGAGGGCCCTACTTACTTCACAGCCATGCAAAATGCATCACAGACCATGAAATCTGGCCTTTTGGGTGCTTCTACCCTTTGCTATACACAGATTTCATGGGGAAAGACCAGTGTTTCTCAAATTGGGGGTCCTGACCCAAAAGGGAGTCGCGGGGGAACACATGGTTATTTTAGGGGTGTCACCGTATTGCCACCCCTTACTTCTGCACTGCCTTCGGAGCTGAGCGACTGAAAAGCGGTGGTTGCAATGCTGGCCAGGTAGTTGGCTCTGAAGGCAGCACCCCGCCAGCAGCAGAAGTAATAGTGGCAATGCCATACCCATGTCACCCTTACTTCTGTGCTGCTGCTTTCAGCGCTGGGCACCCAGAGAGTGGCAGCTGCTAAGGTGCCTGCTCTGCCAGCAGCAGTGCAGAAATAAAGGTGTCCATACCACGCCATCCTTACTTCTATGCTGCTGCTGGCAGTAGCGCTGTCCTCCCAGCCAGCAGTCACCGCTCTGAGGGTATGTCTATATTGCATTGCTCCTTCAAGAGAGGAATGCAAATACAGACAAACGAAATTGCAAATGAAGCGCAGATTTGAATTTCCTGAGCTTCATTTGCATAATCACGTTATGGCGCTCTTTCAAAAAAGCCCTATTTCGAAAGTGAAACCACGGTCTAGATGCGATTATTTCGAAAATGGCAGGCTGTTGGGATCTTTCGAAAGAGGAATGTAATGTAGACATACCCTGAGTCACCAGTTTTGAAGGCAGAGCCTCTGGCAATAGCCGCGCAGAAAGGCGGCAGTGCCAATATCCCCCTACAATACCTTTGCAACCCTCACACAGCTCCTTTTCGGGTCAGGACCCCTAAAATTACAAAAACATGAAATGTGAAATTTAAATATATGAAATAATGAAATGTACCATTTAAAAAACCCTATGACCATGAAATTGACCAAAATGGACCATGAATTTGATGGGGCCCTAACAGTAGCAGCAGAGTTAGATTTCTTACTGGCCCCAGCTGTTGAGCTGTTCATGAGCTAAAGCATCTGGTTTAACACCAACATTTTCTTTAAAGCCACTATCACCATTAACAAATGATTGGCTGAAGGTTTCTCTGCATGTCTGTCTGTGATGCAATCACTTTTGACCATACATCCAAACAATTCCAACTCATCAGTGCTTATTAATTTGGGGGAGAATCAAGAAAGGCAGAATGGGGGACATGTGGTGCTTATTAATTTGGGGGAGAATCAAGAGAGGCAGAATGGGGGACATGTGAAACACCTGTTGATTCTTTAGCACCTCTGCAATTGTCCTGTCAGCAAAACAATACCCTCTCTCAGTTCTGCCTGTCCTCCCAACAGAAAATAACAGTGGCACCCTGCAGGACTTGTGTAAGCTGGAAAGCTCGTCTCTCTCACCTACAGAAATTGGTCCAATAGAAAGCATTACCTCATCTACCTTGACTCCCAGAGAGAAAGAAGAGTAGTTGGGGAAGGGGGAATGAAGAGGGACATGAACACATCCCCTGGCATTGGGGAGGAGAATGAGGGATGCTGGAAGAGAGAGGGGGATTCCCCCCATGCTAGTGGCTTTGGGTAAGAGGAACATGGCAAAAGAGAGTAAAAAGGGCTCACACCAAGGTTGTGACATGAGGGGAAGGAGAAAAGGGGAGCACAGAACTCCTGCCACAGAGAAGAGACATGAATGACCCTGGAATGAGGGGACATGGAGAATACAGAACTCCTGCTGTGAGGGAGAATGGGAGATCCTGGTATGGTGGGAAAGACAAACTGGGGCACATGGGGGAAAAGGAGTGTACACAGAGACTAGCATGAGGGGGGAGAACATGAGACTCTTGAATGGAGAAACAGGGGCCGCACAAAGCCCTTGGGATGAGGGGGAAAGTGGAAACAGGAGGAGGGAGAATGGGGCACACAGAATTCCTGGTGGGGAGAGATTGGTGGATCCTTGTATGGCGGAAGGAGAACTAAAGGTACACACAGCACCCCTGCCATGAAGGGAAAAATAGAGGACCCAGGAATGGGGAGTAGGGATGTAAAATCCCATTTGATAGTTTAACCGAGTAAACATAATGCCTGTGAGCTGTTGCCATCTACCAAAGGAATTTCACTTCCAGTAGAAAAGCACTTGCTACGTACGTGGTAACTCTGCAATCACACTGTCCACATGAGCATCAGATTTCGACAATTTTCGTTTTGAAACCATGGCAACAATCTTTGTTGTATCCTACAGTAATATTAAAAAAAAAAACAATTAGCAACTAGGCAAAGGAGATCCATTTTTACTTTAGCATTTGTAAACAAATGTAAAGTGAATAGAGAAGAGGCTATACTGAAGGAAAGTGCTCCAGGAATGCAGACTGCCCATTCAAAGGAAACGAGAGGTCTGATTAACCATCATTATTCTTTGCACAAACACCTCTTCACTACAGACTGAGGTTAGGGCATGCCAATAAATCCATGGCATGTTACTTTTTCTAAAATGCAGTTTATTTTGTGTAAAGGGAAGTATATAAAAAAGCAACCAAGCCAAGAAACATTTTTGAATGTATTTGACCTCCCCATCAGACACACCCCGTTACCACGGAGACATGGGGACACCACCCCATCAGACACACCCCGTTACCACGGAGACATGGGGACACCACCCCATCAGACACACCCCGTTACCACGGAGACATGGGGACACCACCCCATCAGACACACCCCGTTACCACGGAGACATGGGGACACCACCCCATCAGACACACCCCGTTACCACGGAGACATGGGGACACCACCCCATCAGACACACCCCGTTACCACGGAGACATGGGGACACCACCCCATCAGACACACCCCGTTACCACGGAGACATGGGGACACCACCCCATCAGACACACCCCGTTACCACGGAGACATGGGGACACCACCCCATCAGACACACCCCGTTACCACGGAGACATGGGGACACCACCCCATCAGACACACCCCGTTACCACGGAGACATGGGGACACCACCCCATCAGACACACCCCGTTACCACGGAGACATGGGGACACCACCCCATCAGACACACCCCGTTACCACGGAGACATGGGGACACCACCCCATCAGACACACCCCGTTACCACGGAGACATGGGGACACCACCCCATCAGACACACCCCGTTACCACGGAGACATGGGGACACCACCCCATCAGACACACCCCGTTACCACGGAGACATGGGGACACCACCCCATCAGACACACCCCGTTACCACGGAGACATGGGGACACCACCCCATCAGACACACCCCGTTACCACGGAGACATGGGGACACCACCCCATCAGACACACCCCGTTACCACGGAGACATGGGGACACCACCCCATCAGACACACCCCGTTACCACGGAGACATGGGGACACCACCCCATCAGACACACCCCGTTACCACGGAGACATGGGGACACCACCCCATCAGACACACCCCGTTACCACGGAGACATGGGGACACCACCCCATCAGACACACCCCGTTACCACGGAGACATGGGGACACCACCCCATCAGACACACCCCGTTACCACGGAGACATGGGGACACCACCCCATCAGACACACCCCGTTACCACGGAGACATGGGGACACCACCCCGCCTGACAAACCCTATTACCACGGAGACATGGGGACACCACCCCATCAGACACACCCCGTTACCACGGAGACATGGGGACACCACCCCATCAGACACACCCCGTTACCACGGAGACATGGGGACACCACCCCATCAGACACACCCCGTTACCACGGAGACATGGGGACACCACCCCATCAGACACACCCCGTTACCACGGAGACATGGGGACACCACCCCATCAGACACACCCCGTTACCACGGAGACATGGGGACACCACCCCATCAGACACACCCCGTTACCACGGAGACATGGGGACACCACCCCATCAGACACACCCCGTTACCACGGAGACATGGGGACACCACCCCATCAGACACACCCCGTTACCACGGAGACATGGGGACACCACCCCATCAGACACACCCCGTTACCACGGAGACATGGGGACACCACCCCATCAGACACACCCCGTTACCACGGAGACATGGGGACACCACCCCATCAGACACACCCCGTTACCACGGAGACATGGGGACACCACCCCATCAGACACACCCCGTTACCACGGAGACATGGGGACACCACCCCATCAGACACACCCCGTTACCACGGAGACATGGGGACACCACCCCATCAGACACACCCCGTTACCACGGAGACATGGGGACACCACCCCACCAGACACACCCCGTTACCACGGAGACATGGGGACACCACCCCACCAGACACACCCTGTTACCACGGAGACACCGCCCCGCCAGGCACACCCCGTTACCACAGAAACATGGGGACACAACCCGTTGCCACGGAGACATGGGGACACCACCCCACCAGGCACACCCCGTTGCCATGGAGACAGGGAGAAGGAGAACCACTCTCGACCCCACCCCGTTACCACGGAGACATGGGGACACCACCCCACCAGACACACCCTGTTACCACGGAGACACCGCCCCGCCAGGCACACCCCGTTACCACAGAAACATGGGGACACAACCCGTTGCCACGGAGACATGGGGACACCACCCCACCAGGCACACCCCGTTGCCATGGAGACAGGGAGAAGGAGAACCACTCTCGACCCTGTTGCCATGGAGACCAGGGACACCAC